TTTCGGACGCTACTGTAGCGACCTCTTATTCTAAGCCATGTAAACATTTCAACTGATAAAATTGTTGCTAAAATGTGCTGCGTTCAAAAAGGACATTTTCTGGAACAGGCTAAGCGAATAAATCAAGGGTGCAGTATTTTAGTGGTCCCCACTTGATCGTCTCATCTTGTTTTCATCCAATTCTACGAGATAGATCATATATTGTACAAATTTAGATTGTGAGGAAATGCGAGAGGATAAGACGTGCTCTTTGAGAGGTTAATGCAGTGCTGTCCAGCGATACCGATTTAACTTATCTTGAATTCCCCTTCAAATTAAGCCACCTTTTTGCAAAAGCCTTCTGACGCCCTGAACGTCAAGACGGTACTTTTTTTTATTTATATCTGTAGAAATACCTAGTGTTTATCGATTTATTCACATAACCACTAAATTAGACGGCTAAGATTCAACTTTTACGCCTATTACAGCATTTGAATTCTTTAGTCAGGGGTAAATGTGCATTCTAAATCTACTGCCCCCGGACCAGAACACTTCAAGACCTCCTTACCGAAAGAGGCAAGTTATCTGAAGAAGCTTGCAGACCATTGTTCGCTGGCGCAGTTTCAGGCGTGGAATACAGTAGATTGATGCTGCCTTCCCAGCTAGAGTGTAGTTCACAGGCTGAATATAATTCATCGTGACTTAAAACCGGAAAACACGCTTCTCACGCCCAACGGTAGCGTTAAGGTATGTCAACTCATTTTATATATCTAACTTGAGACAGCTTATCGATTTTGGCCTAAGTGAAGTTGTAAGTGCGGATGGCCTAACCACTGGCACAATGGGGACTCCGGCATTTTTGTCGCCGGAGTGTGTGAATGAGTGCGGCAAAAGATATTCCGGTAAGGTAGTTCAATATGAAGAAAGGACAGGGGGCTGAGCTACATGTTTTATTTTTTTTCAGGCAGCGGACATTTGGGCTCTGGGAATGACACTGTTTTACCTTCTTACCGGCAAGGTAAGACGCATAAAAATCCGCGTTTTTAGCTTTACTATGATGGACTGAACAAGTACGATGTTATGGAGGCAATCAAGGATAATCCAATCGACCTGGAAAGATGGTAAGCATCAATTGAGGTCTTGTCTCAGGTCTAAAGTGAGCCAGTTAAGCATGTCAGCAAGTATGCGAAAGAAGCCTTGATAAGCATGCTGGCCTGGAACCCGGAGAAGCGCAGTTCTGCACGGAAAGTTCTGGTAAGCACAAGGTCTATAAGTGCCACCAACACACCTTCCTACCTGCAACGCAACAAATATTTTTGTAGAATAAACAGACCCAAATCTTTTGACAGATAATTCCGTAAGTATTATTTGATTCTCAGTTTATCCAATGAATGAATAAGGGTATGAGATGGAGCCACTGCCGCAGGGAACAGATACGCGCCCTGTATTTATCCTGTAGCAAATTATCCATCTCAGTAGGGGGATAAAACGAAGGCATGAGTACTATCACAGGTGACTGAAAGAAACCCATTTGACATGGAAAATGCTCTTTAAGTCATTCTACACAATCCGTTGGATCCACGACTCCCGCGGCCAAGAGGTAGATGTAAAGCCGTCAAAGTTAGTTAATGAGCAGGGCCTAAATAAGCCTCACAAAATCATCTAAGTGATACCAGACAGCCAATCAAATTTGACGATACGGCTGACTCCCATTTTAACGCACGACACTGGCTCACGCCTTCCGGTAGGAGGTCAGTTTGAGCCATTGCTCAGCAACTGCTTAGACGAATCAATCAAGACGGAAGTACTCTCTCTTGGTCATCGAGGTCCCAGACACCTGGGCTGATATTCCATTCTTGGTACTGTCAATAACAACTGGCAGGCGTCTTCAGTGCATATTCATTACTATCGAGCCACCTGAGGAGAGCACATTTGACTAAACTGCGTTCAGTGGTCTCAGGCATATTAGTTGCTAGCGTCTATACCCGAAAGCGATGGCATGGGGAAAGAATGGCCCATATCAAAGGTAGACGAGTAGTGACTTATAAGCAAATTGGCGTCCATCACTTCAATGGAGAACTTTTAACGAAGTAAATCAGACCAAAATAATAGGGAAATGGAGAGCATCGGTCAGGCATACTTACTATCCATACTAAAAGGCATGACAACGCTGGAATATCGATGCATACAGCACCTTCCACGGCAGTGTGGTTAGAATTGCTCCTCCACAGGCTTTTCCGAACTGGCACGTTCCGAAAATGAGGGAAGGCCCAATTCCTAGAGAAGTCCTATCGACACCTAAAATACTAACACCAAATTTCTCTTTGACATTTCTAGATGCTCCAGTGGGTCGTACAGGGAGAAGAGGAGTCAAAATCATGAGGAATGATGGTTTATATTGGAACATTTACAATCAGGATCGACAAAATGCACCTGATAAGCAATGGGATGCGGAAGAAAATATGTGCAAAGACCGAAACATTATTTCACATAAGACTAACTCTTCTCCCACAGAATAACGCAAAGGAGTCCGCTCCGAGATGAAAAAACATCAAGGTCACGCCTGCGTATCGTTCTGTTGCTGTTGTTCCTGCTTCTGTTGCTGGTTCTGTTTGCGGTTCTGAATCCGGTGCACGCAGCGCTCGAGAATGCGCTTTGCCTCGCATTCAGGGAAGTTGGTCATATCGTAGTATTGTGGCGCTATCCTTACAAGCCTAGAGAAGAAGGAGCACATTAAAGTCACTAAAAGTTAGGCACTAAATACTCGTTTGCCCCTTAGGGGTAATCAATTTAAATGCGGGTCGTCCGCGTTACGCGAACACAGGCTTCGTCTACTTACTTTACTTTTGTGTACAATAACCAGATTAAATGTGGGGATCATGCAATATTCATAAAGCAAGCTAACTACAGCCTATGTGTAGAGTGTGGTTCAAATTTACGGGGGAGAATGTCTAACTGCCAAATTCTATGGGATCCATCCATTGCGGGTGTTAGGTGTGATTTAAATAATAGACTTGAAATTACAGTAGCGTTAAAGCGGAGAAGCAAGAAAGGCTAAGTGGATAGTTATGTAATGCTGGAGACGTAAAAGAGTATAGTCAAACTGCGAAATTTTATTTGGAAAAATTCATTCACCACAAAGAAATACGTGAAGACCAAAGAGGAGGTCATCGTCCTTTGACCAACCTGGTTGGACATGCAAGTACAAAAGACTTTATTGCAGATTTGGGTACTTGGGAAAGTGTTTTGGAAAAAGATGTAGTATACAGAAGTAAAAGCTAGACTATACTTGTAAGTAAGTAGACAACTCCTTATATCTTTTTGAAAAAAACACTAACTAGAGCACAAAAGAAATTATCGTTTGTTGGATAGACCGAACAGAGAAAAAACTCACCAGTCCGGTTTGATCTCGGTAACTGTGCGGATATAATTCTTGGTTGTCAGCACAAACTCGTTATAAAGAACCCACTCAGGCTTGTGGTCGAGCACCGTGGACGGATGTAGCTGGACGACCTGATTATCCTTGACAGTCAGGTAATGACCAGTTCGCTCCAGATGGGCAACCTATAGAGGTAATGACACAAAGATCTAATTAATCTAAAATATAGGGGCTTCACTACATGCAGGTAGTGAAAAAACAGTATTTTGTGTTCACAGTGGGAACAGCAAACAATGCTGCGATACGTTCATTTACATTACGGAAAAACTAGGGGTCGGAAAATTCCCTTAGTGCCCATAAGCGAAGAACCTAAATGCACAGATTATCTTGAGAAAATAACTTATTTAATATAGTTCGTAAAGTTTTAGGGGTGCCCTCTAAAAGCCAATATTCTAATGGAGGTGTGGGAACTTTGTCGCTATGACACAAAAGATGCTCGCTCAAAATACGACAGCCTGAATTTTGTTGCCCGATATCGGCTTTTAGTTGGCTAAATAGGAATCAATATAAATAAAAATTAAGTCATTGTGCATGTCAAACTACTATGTACTGATTAAAAGATTTAGGTTACGGTTCGGGATGAATAACTATAAATAACTGTTCAATGCTTCATGCAAAATGCTTAGAATAAAAGTAAGTGGCCAAAAGGGAGTAAGCTCAATAAATGGAATCTTTATGAACAGCTAGAGAGCGAGCCAAAAAACTGGAGACATGCCTGCATGAAGAATCCGGCAACAAGTGCCTTCCGTATGTTTAAGTAGTAGTCTCGGGACGAAAACTCTGTACTGGAACGTCTCAATGAGAACCTATCCATTATACGCGAAAGCTGAACGCGGACATTGTCAGCAGACTTCAGGGATCGGAAGTTTATAAAATTGTCATAACACCATTGAGGGTCTTCTTGATCTGCGAAAAATAAAATGAAGACACGTTTTCTGAACATCAATGGCCAAAGACACGTTTTTTTCGAGGAACAAGGTCTGCACAATCTAAACCATAAAAACTACTGTAAAGGAGTGATAAAATTCAAATTTTGACCAGCAAGCGGAGGTGCGGGGTTATGTTATCGGTAAGAGATAGAAATAAAATGTACACTTAATCCGCACAGTGGGCATGTTCGTGCGCGCAGATATTGATGTTGTCGGATTGTTGCAAACTATATAGCGGACACTGTGCACGCCCGCAGACTTCCGGGGCATAAGATGCTATCAAACGGAGTGTTCTGGTATGCACACCCAGTTCAATTGCTGGTTCAGAGTGCTTGCCTTTAATAGAACAAAGTGAGAAAACGACATGGCAACAGGGAATTCCCCGAACGCGTGATTTTTCCATGAATTGTGCGGCCACATAGACAAAAGGGCACACTTGACAGCTCTTTTTTCATAAGCGACGACACACATCGACCTCGAAGGCGTAACGCTCGCTTGCGCGGTGTCTACTTCATTATAAATTGGTAAAACCTACTGTGTTCAAATGACAAGACGGCCTGGCATAGGCGCAACTGCAAATAAGGTCAAGGCCATGTCTACGCGTACCACGTACAGGTTCGCCCTGTGTGAAGCGCCCCCCCCCCCTCTAAGATGCGGTCCCGGATCTTATTTAGGATTGCCACAGAGGTCAAATTTGGAGAGTTGTCATAAGGAGCATCAGTGTTAGCGCCTTTACCGTTTTCCAATGGCCTAAATGGACCTGAAAACTAAGTGATGTGACTGAACGCGGTGGCCCGTGTGGTTTAAGTTTCTGTTAAAGCGCGCAGCACGCTTGCACGGAGATATTTTAGGACTCACGAAAAGCCAAGATAACCTGATTAGCACATGATATCAGCCAATGCGACCCCGTTTTTGTCTGAAGCAACAAATGGTGGGGCACAAGGAAACACTTTTGCCATTCTTCCGGTGAACGGTGGGGCAATGCGGGTTTCAGAGCGGTGATTTTTTAAAAGGATCGGTAGTGGCGAATGCTGGCCAATGCACTACGACGCGCTTATGTTATTTTGTCGTTATCGGATCTTTGAAGAACGTAGATAACAGAACGCGGCACGAAGAGCACAGCGCGGTTCATGGCTAAACAATGGAACTTACTTTGTTTAAAGGCATGATAAACATTCAGCATGGTCAGATGATCACCATCAATATGAGCAAAACGCATCTTGGCCTCATCCGCAGCTCTCTTTGCGTCTGCCGGTCGGACGAAACACTGTGGTACTACAAAAGGAATATGATAAACACAAATTGAACTGCATAATTAGAACCAGTGGTACGTGGTAAAATCATTCCGAAAATGATAAAGAGATAGCAGCCAAACTCCAAAAAAATGTTGCCTGAACAATAAATCGCGAGAAATCTTAACAACATCGGACGGCCGCAGCAGTCAATTGGATTTGAAACGGCATTCGTATTTTAAATTCCAAACTTAGCATGTGGTACGACTGTGCCGATACATAATGGTACCGGCCTCGACGATGTCATAAAATACGTCTGGCTACACTGGCGATCTGCGGAGAAAATCTGGAAAGTTCGACTTACGCTTTTCTTTAGCGATCGAGGACCAACGGTAAAAGAATCCCCTCCTAACGTATGGTATCAAGCCGGCTTTGAGTTGACTCCTGTTCAACGCCTCCAAAAGGACGTCAGCGCTGGATTAAGGGT